CCTGTCTCGGCAGTCAGCACGTACAGGAGAACTTCCAAGGCACAGAAAGGGAAGAGCAGGGTTTGTAAGTGGGTGGTGAGCATGTAAGTAAATCACCTAAAGAAGCAGTCCCGTTACCAGCTTGCTTCATACCAGCTGCTCCATTAGAAACCCAACAGCTGATGCCCTTTAAGTTTATGCACTCCCATTTACCAGAGTTTAAGAGAATATGTTCCCAATTTAGCTCATGTAGTTTCTGGTTTTGTTACAGTTCCCCTCAAGGATCAGCATGGGGTAATGGCCCCCCCCGGTGCTCTCCCGTGCAGCAAGAAGCCCACACACAGCCAAGAGCAAACCAGCCCTTTGCACCAGGAATAGGAGACACTTGGCCCGCAAAGCCACCGCGTGGGACGCTGCTCTGTGTCCCTGTGGCTTGCCTGCCTTCAGGGAGACTGCAATTTTGAAATGGTTCAGGAAGTCCAAATAATGACGGATGTTCACTTTTTCATGGGTGGTAGGGGAAGTCTCCATGCTTCCTGCACTGGTAGATGACATCCTTGGCCAGCCTTGAGCCTTCTCCTCTGAGCTGTACTTGGCCTCCATCTCCTGTTCTCCAGCCACCAGTATCTCCTTATGCAGTGCAACAGGTTCCATCTTACAGACCCACTTTTCATTAAAACACATGCCACAAGTTGTCTTTTTTTTTTCCTTTTTAAAAGCATAATTCATATTTAAAACATTCCTCAAATCTCACATTTTCCCACACTATTTTGCTGCGCTACCCTGCCAATTTCACCAGATGCTGCATGTCTTCCAGGTGATCCTCACCCATGCTTATATTCACCACACATTACATTATAACAAATCTAAGTGTTACTAAGCAGGAGACTGACTTCAGCAAGGCCTGGATTGCCTTTCATACACAATCAGCTCTTTTGGGTACTGCTCTTCCCATTTCCTGATGCCATCTCGAGCGAAAAGAAGAGGAAGAGCACAGCACAACTTCAGCCACACCTTGGGCCCAGGCGTAGCTGCAGGAGACCGATCTAGTGGATCTACGTATACAACTACATCCCACAGAATAAATCCTTCTTTCAGAGGGCTTGGGCGCTCACCCATCCCACGCACCACACCACGGAGCAGGCAAGTTCAACCCTCCAACGAGGCGCAAGTGATTTTGAAATGGTGGAACACATCGCTACCAAAACCACCTTCCTCCTAACGAGCAGCCTCCCCACCCACCAAGATGGCAGGTCCTCAGCTCACACCCATCATATCTGCTAAACGGCTCCCAGCGCCGCTGGGCGAGAGGTTGCGTGCAGAAGCCGTCGGCGCAGCGCTGAAGTCTACCAGTGGACAGGGTGGCCAATGCAGCAGCCCCTCGTGCCTCTCACCTTTAGCGTCAGAGGATGTAAAGTCATCACACTTTCCCCGCTCATGTTCTGCGTTCTGGCCAGTTTCCTACAGAATACACATTTTCCTTCTGCATGCGGAGAGCATTTTACAAAACAAAGCAGCTGTAGACCACTTTAGGAGACCCAGACTTTTAAAAGCCTCTAATCTCTGGTAAAGCAACAACCACCATGAATGGTTCAAATGTCCAAATGCTGCTATAAAAACAGGCAAGTAATTGCTCAGTGAAGGGAGTTGTCCACGTCCACGGTTAAATTTGGACGTCTGTAACTATGGGGTATTTGCTGTGCCTGACTATGTGCAAAAGTAACTACAAAGTCAAATACTAAAAAGCCTCTTCCCCTTTCCTCCTCTCCACTCATGCCTAACACGTGTTTATGGCAGTGGAAATTACGCACGCGGAGGGAGAGGAGAATAAATAACCCACCAAGTCATCTGAGGACATCTGCATGCACTAGCACACTGCTCACCCACTCAGCAGCCTCGCCACGCCGCCCTGCCTGCCCCGAGCTTACCTGATCCTGCCCTTCCCGGCCAGAGATTCCCCCCTTTCTCTCCCTCCCCATTTTTTATTCTGGGGGTAACTTCAGTTAAGTCCTTACAGCGGTGGGGTAACTACAGCAGTAAGACAAGAGGAAGAGCTGCAGGATGAAGCGCTGTGTGTGTAACTGTTTGCCTCAGGTAGTTAAAGCCTGTCAGGTCTGATCTATCGGAAATCAATCTCACCGCCGTGCTACCAACCGCTGCTGTAACACCAGCACGACAAAGGTCGTTCGGGTGCATCCCAATGCATGACATTTCCTACTCTTATACTCCTGTATACATCAATGGAATTTTCCTTTGAAAGAAATATATTCAAAAAGCAATGTAAAAAGCCTTAAAGCAATAATGCTAACAGACCAAAACTTAATTAAGGCTTTTTTTTATTAGTAGCAGTAACAATATACCCGTTTTCCTATGCTCCCCTGGGAGCACTGCAAGCAAGATCCCATCGCACTGAGTGATAACGAGCGCGGAGCAGAGACCAACCACTGAACTTACTCGACCGTGAAAAGCAAGATAGCGGATTGACAGACCCCTCACCTCTCACAAGCACTGCAGCACCGAACAACCAGTTCGGATCAGGCCAAACGCTCAGCTAGCCCATGCCC